TGACAAAGAGTGGTCATTGTGTGCATGTGACAACAATACCACAAATGTGGCTTGTATGGGAGGGTTGCAAGAAAAAAGCCACTCCTCAAGAAAGGCCACATGCAGTCATGACTGAGTTTAGCCAAAACGCACCTTGAAGATTCTGATGCAGATGAGACTAAAATTGAATTATTTGGCCTCAACACCAAACTATGTCTGGCGAAAATCCAATATAGCTCACCATACAAATAACAGCATTCCTCCAGTAAAGCATGGAGGTGGTAATATCATGTTATGGGGGTGTTTCTCTGCAGCAGGGACTGGAGCACTTGTGAGGATAGAAAAAAAAATGGATGGGGCAAAATACCATCAAATTCTTGAGGAAAATCTGCTGCCCTCTGCCAGAAAGTTGTCAATGGGAAAAGGTTTACCTCCAACATGACAATGACCCAAATCACACAGCAAAAATGACCACACAGTGGTTGAAGGAGAAAAAAGTGAATGTCCTTGCATGGCCTATTCAGAGCCCCGACCCCACTGAAAATCTGTGGAATGACTTAAAAACTGCAGTCCACAAATGGTCACCATCAAATTTAACTGAATTTGAGCAGTTCTGCAAAGAAGAATGGGCCAATATTGCAAAGTCTAGATGTGCAAAGTTAGTAGAGACATATCCCAACAGACTTAAGGCTGTAATTAAAGCAAAAGGTGGTTCAACAAAATACTGACACAAGTGGGTGATCCTTTTTTTAAATCAGTGATTCTGTTGTTGTTTGTTTGTTTGTTTTTGTTTTTCTGGCATGGTGTTATATCTTTTACTTGGATGTTTACTTGGAGTAAATACAGCTGGATAAAACAAAAACTTTGTCGGTATTAATTTCAGGCTCCTTAGATGCATTTCCTCTGATTTAGAAAAGTACATTTTATTTTCTGAAACCTCACTAAATTGTTCAATAGTCTCCGTAATCACCTCTGGTTGAGTAACAAACAAAAGGATGTTACCTGCATACAAAGCAGTTTGATGTTGTTTACCATTAACCAAAATACCAGAGATATGCAGATTACATCTCACAGCCTCAGCTAGAGGTTTAATAACTAGGGCTGCCCTCGACTAAAGATTTTTCCGGTCGACTGGTAGTGGTTCATTTTAAGCATTAGTTGACTATTAGTCGCACTTTTATTAATAAACCATATAAATCATGATAATGAGCGTTTAATTGCCTACATAGCATAATAAGCGCTCAACCGCATGCAAAAAAAAAGGCTTGCCATAGCGCATATATAATAATTATGAATGTGTTAGGGAAAAACAGCAAGTACACTGCATTAACGTTTTAATCATTTATTGTTACACTAGTACTTTCTGTTTTTGGTTTAAGAGATGAAGTCAGCGACACTGACTCATCTCCGCAGTATGTGCCTGAAATATGATGTACTGATGTTTCACACGGATTACATAATCTGAGAATATTTGTTTTCTATTTGAATTGGTTCATTTAAAAGATTCACTCTCTATAGATATATTTTTCATGTCTGTAATAAGGCAAGAATACACGGAGTTTCGAAGTGACGTGCTCAAGTTCACAGAGTCCGAGACGGCAGAAAGCGCATCCTGTTTGCTTTCATTATTTTACAAAAGTGTTTCATTGTTATTCTGAGTGCACACGAATAAATGTAGAGTCTTTACAGATACAAAAGATGCATTACTCTTATCTGTATGACCAAAAATGACGAAGTATTTTAAGAGCAAATGATTGCACCGGCGCCTCCATCTGTCATGCAGTAGCCCAAGCGCGCTACTGTTCAGCTTCCACACTCCGCACAAACACGTGAACTGCGCACTTTTTTCTAGACTAACATTAGATTGAGCTGCCATGTAAAGTTGCTACTACATACATATTTCAGATGATAAGCCATATTTGAGGTCGATGAATGTTAGGTGAGCATATGGATGTCCTGCCCGATGTACTATATTACAGCATAGACAAGCCGTTAACGATTTGTCCATCACGGACAAATGTGATTTCGCCACTTCGTGTGGAATTTTTTTTTTCTGCGACTAATGAAATTTTGGTCAACCAAGCCTCTTCTCGTCGACTAAAGGTTAGTCGACTATTAGGGGGCAGCTCTATTAATAACCATAGCAAAAATCAATGTTGACAAGGGGCAAGCCTGCCTAATGCCCCTTCCTAAGTTGATACTCTCAGAATGTCTACCAATTGTAATAACTGCTTGTACTGGACTATCATACATTATCTTAACCCATTGTATAAAAGTATCCCCCACCTAAAAAAATTTAATGTATAAAACAAAAACTGTAATCTTCGCATATTATCACTAGAGTAGTGTCCATGAATGAACCCAGTTTGGTCAACTTGTATAATACTTGTCAGTATCTTCTCTAATCGCAGATCTAGATA